AATATGTATCTTACCCAACTCTTAAAGATCTACCAAACCTTAAAGATATGGTCATCAAAACTACACAAGGAATACTTACTAGCCTTAATATCACATGGCGATAGGAAGGAAACAAAATGTGGGTATTTCAACCGCACTGCACCATCCAAAGAAGAGCATAGCCAAGAAAATTGACACCTCAACATGATGCAATTAAGCCAATAGCTAATGTTCATCCTACTACAATTTGTTTACATTCTTTTTTGACGGTGAAGAGAGATCAAATAAGGAAAAGGCACCCCTGCTGGATTGATCCTTTAGTCGAGCCCAGTTTTTTGCTCATTTCGTGCTCCTAATTCAATTTGGAATGCTGCCAAGGGCTTCCCCTGCAATCCATCATCAAAGAAGTGCAACATTGAGAAGCCCTATAATAGACTCCTAGGTTAACTGAATCTAAAATATATCATTAGAATCTGAGAGCCGGTAAAATCTGGTTCAGAGGCCCTGCAACATGCAAAGATTATAGATGTTATACAGATAAATTACATTTTGATTGATTTGAACATGTGGAGTGTTCACTGTTTCTCCAGGTAATACAACAGATCTGTGGTAGGATTAATCAAATGCAGTTGTTCATCAGAGAACCCAATCTGAACTATTATCCAATCTTTGAAGTAGTCTCTTAAGTGGCAAAAGCACTATATGATCCGAGTAACAGCTTTGCTGGTGATATTTGCATGGGTCTTTCTACACGCAAACTAATGAGAAACATACAAAAGAAGGTCAGTGACAAAGGACCAGAAGAGTTACGACTTAACACATACATGTAACTAAGCAGTTTTTCTGAGCAGCAATGCCAATATATAGCAGAGACATGCGTCGATAGAAGACAAAGCAACAATGAGCAAGGCCACAAGAACAAGGGTAAGGGTAGATGTCCTCAACTGCAAAATGAAATAAACAAAAGAAGAATAAAATTTTGAAATAATAATTGTTTCTATACCAAAAACCATGACAACTGAAAAACTATAAGCAAGCATTAGAAAAATGGACAGTTTTATGGCAAATGATCCTTGCATATAAAAATCAGAAATAGATGCACATTACACCATGTGGAAAGTCAGGAATACATGTAACTACTAGATTTTAATTCTTACTTTGAACACCTAAAATAGTAACCCAAACTATACAACTATGATTACTGAATATTAATTCATTTTATGCCTTCCTGGGAGGTTATTCTTGACATTCTGAGTCTTAGATTTGGACTACCAAGAGGCTCCTGCCAAGCAGCGTATGAAGAGTGCTTAACCTTACCCCTACAAATAAAGATTCTATTCCACATATGCTGCAACAATATATTCCTCCTTGAGGTCAATTGTGTAGTGGAATCATATTGGACTAACACGGTCCACTGACACACCCTACTGACCTCCTAATCTAACATGTTTATGCAGAAAAACATTAGATGTAACATACACACAGTGTGCAGTCAAAACTCATAGGCCCTGTGTGGTAAGTGACGTGACTTGGGTGAGACACCCCTAATGGAGCTATATAGATCAGCTTTCAAAACATTAAAAGGTCAGGTATGATACAAGGCAACAAATGTCAAGTCTAGAATTTTGGTACCCCTGTTCATTTATACAGAACAAACTTAGATAGTAAAGTGGAAACATGCCTAATGATGTCTCAATTGTACAGCTAACAGTGCAAACAATATCAGTTAGAAAAGAAATGAAGTGACCAAGAAGACTTGTTTCTTTCTCCTACTTGTCAGGTATACATACCGTGTTCTGGAAATCTGGCCATTCAATGTACTTCAACTGACTAGGCTGCTCAGCCAAGAAGACTGCCAAGGATTTCAAATACCTGCATGGATAAGAAGGGTGCACATTCATTTGCAAAGCCTTGATAATTGATCATGAACACATAGTAAATTATGCTCTAATAGTGAAAAATATCACATACATTGCAACACCCTTTACCACACTCAACCAAAATGGTTCTCTATCAAATCCATCTCCATAAGACAATCCATAATGGTCATTACTTCTTATTGATGCACATATGGGCCTAAAATATGAAATTGGCCGTTGAATGCAACTTCCTGGAATCTATATAAAGAGAGAATACTGTTCTTCAACTCTTCACAATGAAAAACATAAAGCTAAAAATATTATTGACCAAATGATGGTTTTGGAAAGACCTTAACATGGCAAATTTTGGACTTGCAGGGCCAGTGAGCAGGAATTGATATCATATGAGGCATGAACAAAAGTGAACCTAGAAGGGAAATGTTAGCATTTTACGGTGGTCAAATTATATAGAGATACAAATATGCGTATATATGTGTTGCAGAAATAATATGGGAAAAGGGGAGGAAGGATTAAAACCTGAACAAGAAGCCATGACACTAGCAACTGCCATCTTCTTGTTAAGCTATACACAATGACAACAATAAGAATGAGGAAATTTCATATTACCAAAGCAGGATACTGAAATGCTTATCATTTATAAAAAACAGCAGGACAAGATTATACCAAAGAGAATAAGGTGGGTTGGTACAGTTGGAAATGTTTTATATGAACAAGTGTTTTTAATTGAGGGAACAGACAAAAACACACATTTCGAATAGATGTAGCTTGTAAAACTTTTGTATAACAGTAGTGCAACTTTTATTATGTTTTGTGGTGCACCTGCACCTAAGTCTTTTATGATACTACTAGGTGTTCAGTCATTCAGCAGATATGATTTATGTTGTCAGTTGTCAACAGTGGAGAGAAGACTAATAAAGAGTTTCCACTGAACACCAAGATCCAGCAGTGCAACAGTTCTGATGAAATATGTACTGTAGGGGCATCGGCAGTTCAAAATGGATCATTTTTTCCCCCTAAACTTAGCAGCTAATGATAACAAAAAATCATGGTCAATTTCAGCTTTCATGCACATTAAGACATCAAAATGAAGAAAGTGTCATAGCAACCAAGTATCATTATCAACAAAATGATGCAAAACAATAACTTACCTTTTGAAGAAAAAATAAATTATTAATTCAAAAAATTTATAAAAGAGGAGACTATCATAATCATCCATCTCACAATTATGATAATTTGCATGATATTTTGTGGATTTCGCCAACCAACAAAAAGGGAAAGAGGAAACATCAAACAGATAAATAAGATGTACATGCTTATTCAAAAATGCCACAACTAAATTTAAGTACAGAAACAGAACCTTATGCTGACCAACTAATTGAATATGCAAAGCAAATAAGCAAGCATTTGACCCATATATGAATTACTAATCTCCGAAATTCTGAAAATTTTAATAGCATCACTTACAAGAGATTGGTAGGCATCACATTCAAATAAGCTAGATTAAGTATGTAACCCCTTCCCTTTCAATTCTGTAATCAATCACTTATTACTAGTTGCTACTTTGCATTATCCTAAATAAGATGTGTCTTTGTGTTAATTGTTTATTGTTATATCATTTGCATTTGACATTATGGAATGATCCCTGTGTTTCATCCTTTATTTTTTATTTTTTATATCTAAGTTTTAATACAACAGTGAACAGTTTTAATACAACTACAAGACTTTCTTATCTATGTTGGTCATAAGAACTTACACCCTTGTGGTGTCATCATAATGAAATGGATGGTACAATGGTGCTTGACATGATACAATAGAAATCTGGACTTCAATAATTTACTCCAATGATGTCTTACCTTAGAGGCATATCACCTATAATCTATAATCAACTTAACAGCATCTCTAATAGGGAGATGAAATGTGCTCAAACTCTATGGTTTCTATTCTTGCATTTAATTCTGCTTACTAATTATTTTGTACAAGAATGAAAAAGACTAAATGACCAAAGCATAAAACATTGATCTAACCATAAATCATGCCTTTAGTTAATGTTATGTCTACCTCTATCCAATTCTCCAACAAATTAAAAGCCTTTGACTGCAGAATATTTATGTGCTTGTTGTAGAAACCAAATGTACGATTGGCTATATGGAAGAAAAATGACAATGTTTAGTTCCACTTCCTTAATTTCTTTAATTTCTATTTTTCAAATTTGCCAAAAAACAGTGTCCCAAATGCAATCATCTAAAAAACACCTAACAAATGTAAGTCAATTATCATATCAAACATAAACCTCAGCTTACTTTTGCTTCTTTCTGATGTAAAAGGAATAGGGAAGACTTTCCTGGAAAACACAAGAAGCAAGGTTATTTTCTAGAACCAAATTAAAGAAAAGCGTTCCAGGAATCCGATTCCATACGTGCAAATCGATTAGCTGAACATAAATTGAGATTCTTTCCACCAAAAATTAATCACCATGAGATGCGCAATAACGAAGAAAGTCACCTGGATGTTCCAGAAGCCAAGGAACCAAAGTGTTCGGATAGCCGAAAGGAGAGAACGTTACATCCGGCGGGCGCCAAGAGGACAAGGTCGGAGCCGCCGCCGGCGCGAGAGAGAGGAAAGGGGGGTTACGGGACGCCCGGGGAGCAACAGTGAGGTTTAGGTTTGGGATGCGGATCCTCTCAAACAGTACATGTAAATGAATTCTCCAATTACAAATCTCAACCGTCCACTAGAAGCAGTTGCCGCTCAACCATCCGCCCAAGAGGATCCGACTAATAATTTGAAACAATCCGACCCGATTGGCTTTGTGGCTAAATAAATCGAACCGCATAAGCTCGAACTTATGTCCGGCCTGAGGGGAGAAATTGGTCGAACCAAACATAAACCGGACACCACTATTTGGTTCGTCAGTTGTCGATCTGGTTCACAGAGACCGTCAGATCTTCTAGAAGCAGGTTCCGTGGCAACACGAAAGACTACCAGAGTATGAAGAAGGTCTTCAAGTAGTAACCAGTCAAACCGCCGAGGTTGTTGGACTTGAATGACTGCTGAGAAGGCCACGTGGGAGGATGCGTTAGAATTCCATGCCGCCGCCTCTGCTCAGCGCTTACGTAATGGATTGACCATGTAATGCGTTTACATATGCGAACATCGCCACTGAACTGGGAACCATTCGCCACCTCTGAGCCATGGCTATTCCGGAAATCGTCCTGAGCTCCACCTCTCCCGCCACAGGCTCCCGGGCGATCCCCGTGCTGGGCATGGGCACCGGGTTGGCCCACTTCACCCCCGAGCAGCGCCCCGCCACCAAGCACGGCATCCTCCGCGCCATCGAGCTCGGGTACCGCCACTTCGATACCGCCGCCATCTATCAGTCCGAGGACGTTCTCGGCGAGGCCATCGCCGAGGCCTTGCAGGCCGGCCTCATCCACTCCCGTGCCGAGCTCTTCATCACCTCAAAGATCTCGTGCGCCGACGCTCACCGTGACCTGGTCGTCCCCGCCATCCGCGAGTCTCTCAGGTGAAGAAGAAGAATAGCTTCATGCTCCTCTTTTACTGCTTTCTTCTGCTTCGAGTTGATGCAAATTACGGGGATTAACATTGATTTCCTGTCATAATTTTGTGATTTGATCTCTGTAATTGGAGCTTCTGAAAGCGTATCGAATTTTTCCTCTTGGTGTTAGGAATCTCAAATTGGATTACCTTGATCTCTACCTCATACATTGGCCCATGAGATTGAAGGCTGGAGAATCCTATCCTCCTATAGAGAGCCACCACATTCTCCCCTTCGACTTGAAGTCTGTTTGGGAAGGCATGGAGGAATGCCACAGGTTGGGGTTGGCTAAGCAGATTGGTGTTAGCAACTTCACCACATGGAAGCTTGCAGAGCTGCTCCGATATGCTAAAGTACCTCCTGCTGCTGTCCAGGTAGTCTGATTTCCCTTTACCTTTCCATGATTATTGTTGGATGTTCTGTGTGAGTCATAGTGAAAAGGGACGATTTTGCAGGTGGAGATGAATCCAACCTGGCAGCAGAAGAAGCTGAGGGAGTTCTGCAAGGAAAAGGGTGTTCATGTCATTGCCTATTCTCCTTTAGGAGGCCAAGATATGTTCGTGGGCAAGAACTTAGTGATGGAGTCCCAAGTGCTTAAAGAGATAGCCAAGGCAAAAGGAAAGACTCTGGCTCAGGTTGCTCTCTTAAGAACTACTTCATCCTGTTAGTAGATTAAATCAATACTGGTATAGGATTATTCAAGTTGGTCATGATAACAGATGTAATTTCCAAGTTCAGCTATTATTTCACTAGAATAAAATTAAAAAATTGTTCTTGAAATTAAGTTGGATGGTTGTCATGATAAGAAAACAATATGATCCCAAATCATTTGCTCCCTTTTGTCTTTTTGATAAAATTTCAAACCACTAGTTAATCATTTGAAAAGGAAATCAACATTAGGGCTTATATTTCTATTCTCTGCTCAAGAAAAAGGATCACTGGAACTTGATTACAGGGTAGAATCAATTCCTGATGCCTTCATGCTTAATTCAAGTTTTTGATGCTAGATAACATATGGCACTGATTTATAGTTCAAAAGTTATTCATCTCATGTAATGTTTGTTGTATGTACTAACAATTAGATTGAACTTTATCTTGTAAATGAGCAAGATATTATGACATATCGGAGAACCTTTCATTAACTTGATTGATCACCAGAAACTGTAGGTGGTCAAATGTTACTATTTTTAATCTCTTACGAAACAGATCAAAACACTTTGGGCTACAATGATCATGGAAACAAGAGAATTATAAACTAGTGGTAACCAGCTGACCTGTGTGGTACTAAAACTCGCATCTGAAAGGAATGGGGAATGGTGTCCATCAAATCATTGCAACTTAAGAGTTTCTTTATTCTTTCAATCTCAATTAGACAAAAACAAACTTTCCTCAGAAAAGAAAAAAAAAAAAATCAAACCAACTTATTCGACGATACCGCTTGTTTTGTTTATCTTTTTTTCTCTTTTATTTTTTTGCTGCATGTCAGATTTTGTGGCAGATTAGCTGTATGATATGCATTGTAGAATGAGAGGCCCCGTAGAATTTAAATCATAGTGCATCAACAGACTGTGTTAATCTAGCTATGAACTTGAGCTTGATGGTTCTGTTTTCAGGTATCCTTGAGATGGGTTTATGAGCAAGGAGCGAGTATGATCGTAAAGACCTTGAACAAGGAGAGAATCGAGGAGAACATGAAAATTTTTGATTGGGAGTTGAGTGAAGAAGACAAACACAAAATTAGTCAACTCCCCCAGTGCAAGAGAGTCACACTGCGTGCAATGCTCTCAACAGAAGCGGCTTCCAAGCTACCTGATGAAGATGAGGTCGTTGAAGAATAAAGGAGTCGGTGCTATTAGATCTCTTAAGACGATTTCAGTACTTAACCACTACATCTATGATATTTGATGAATACAGATCTGCTGCAGGAATTAATAGCTACTATATCTCTACCTGTTTGTGTTCGGGCTGTATGCAGTGAGTTGATCTATGGATTTAGCGACAATCCAATGCTTATGTTTTTCCTTTTCTTTTCTTGTTTTTAGGATACTTGTGTTATGCTGTGTTGGCCAAAGGAATAAGATGAAGAAGTATTTTTATTAATAAATGTGGTGAAAGATTGAGATATGGAATATATTTGGTCCAATATTTTTTTCAAAAATACTGTCCAAGAAAAAGGAAAAAAAATTTGTAAGAGCAGTTCTTTTTCTATTGGAATAAATTATTTTGGATGATTACACTATACGGTTCCAAAAAAAAATTACATCATAATCTTGCATCATGATGATGGTCTAAACCCCTTAAAATTTCTATATTAACCTAGAACAAGAAAAAAAATTGCAATTAATCTTCCAGATACAAAGCTACACTCAAGGAGATGAATTTGAGTTGAAAAATAAAATAGAAAAATGAACCTAGAAAAGGAGCAATATATTGAATAAATCAAACAAGAACATTTGATCATCATATTGGATCTGTTTGCAGTTCTAAAATCACATACAAATTGTTCAAATTAAGCCTCCCAAGAAGCAGTGATGGAAGAAGCCATATTGTTCTGCTCTATAAAACCAAACCACCTCCAAATTTGAAGCTCAAAATGAATACAAAATAATACATCAGAGCACAAGAAATTGTTTCCGCACGTGTCCAATCTTAAAGTCTAACGATATTAGCAGCCTAATCAGATTCTAAACTACTATATACAGAATACCGAAAGATTGTTGCCGATGTCAGCTATATACAGAATCCTAATCAGCTAGAGTCTTAACATCCAAATCTACTCATCCAAATCTACTCGTATAGTGATTTTATAGTCTTGATGATGTATCTGGTCCTTAGACTTGAGATATCAAAAATGTCCTGTACGAGTACTCCACTCTTTCATAACGAATTTATAGGTCTGTAAGTTTCAGATCTAATACTACCGATCATCGGGAGTGGTAACCAACCTTACGAGAGCTATTGAGTATCAATAGAGAATCATCTTGCTCAAACAAATCCCTGGTCAATGTCATTGGGATTCAGAGAGAAATACTACCAATCATCGGGAGTGGTAACCAACCTTACGAGAGCTATTGAGTATCAATAGAGAATCATCTTGCTCAAACAAATCCCTGGTCAAGGTCATTGGGATTGAGAGAGAAAGAGTTCTCTAGGAGAATCCGATTAGAACAAGACTCACAGCTAGCTTGATATTGGGCCTATAAGGTCTCATACATATGGTATGTATTACGATGAGTAGAGATTCGAATTTGAGATATCCGCTAGAGCCCCTATCTTATTGGATATCCAATAAGCTCATGAATTATTGGATCCTTTGAATAAAATCCAATAAGAACCAATAAGAGATTATTGGGTAGAGACCCACTAATCTAAGAGACTTGGGTAATTGGATGGAGATCCAGTACCAAATATGATAGGATCCATTAGGGTTAAGTTGACAAAAGGCCTCTATAAATAGGAGAGAACCAAAGAGCAATGGGCTAGGTTTTTTTTAGATGCCACCTCCTATTCTCCTCTCTCCCTCTCCTCCATATATTGCAACCCCTATTTAGGGCGTGTGGACAACAAGAAGGGGTAACCCATTCTTAATTGCGTGGTGAGCGCGATGAGGAGTTTTGGGCAACGACTTGAGGAGTATATTCGCAACCCCTGCCATATGGATCACCACTAGAGAGGAGGGCATTTGAACTTCATCTAATCCCATAGATCTGTAGGAATTCATGAATATACAATCTCTATACGTAATTCTCTTACGCATGGTTTTTCGGTTTCCTGGGTTTTTGTGCACCAACTTTTGCATGACGATAAGAAATAATTTTCTGTAGGAGTTCTAGGATTTTTATTTTCTATTCTTCCGATGCATATATGATGTCACTCTAGATTTTCCAACAGATTTGTCTGAGCAAAAATACATGGGATATTCCTCTCATAATACCGAGAGCGGATAATCCTCTATCGACACTTAATGACTCTTGTAAGGTTGGCTACCACTCCCGATGACCATCTGTGCTAGATTTGAAACTTCTAGGCCTATAAGTCTAGTATTAAGGAGTACTCATACAGGACATCCTTGGTGTCTCAAGTATAAGGATCAGATACATCACTATGACGATAGAATCGTTGTCTGACAATAAGCATCATCAACTATCCAGCATCCCGTGAGTGGTTCAATCAGTGAACTTATTCTCAAATGAGCACATGCACTATATCTCTAGTGTCTTCACACGAGCAGCTATGAGACCAATTGCCTCCATCATATGAACAAGTATACAATACACTAGTTTGTCCAATTATCTCGATGTCCCTCTCGAGTACCCTATGACCAGGATTATTTAGGGTCTGTATTTAAAGATAAATCGGTCTCATTATCGTGATCTCATCACGATCTATTTCTTATTACATAAATCCATGGACATTATAATATATACATATAATAAACAATATAAAGTGAGAAAATGCTAGAATAATAATAAGCAAAAAAACTTTGTGTCATATCACACGTGTCATCACTTACGTGATTGACTTGTAAGACACCTATGACTAGCACTAAGCTGCTACGCCATAGTCCCTAGACGATATTAGAGATCTAATCTATCGGATATTTCTATCCTTGGTTACCATGTATCTATAGTCCATCATTCATCTAATATCGTAGATATCGTATATTGGGCATGGTAATGTCAGACCCATACGGAATCGTGTCAGAGTTTCACTCTAATCGGATTCTTCCAGAGAATTTCTCTCTCAATCTGAGCGACCCTAGCTTTGGATTTTATTTGAGCGATTACTCATGGGATATTTCTCTCGCGATACCGAGAGTGGATGATCCTCTATTGACACTCATTTGCCTTCGCAAAGTTGGTTGTCATTCCCGATAACCAGCTATACCAGATCTGGAACTTGCAAACCTGTAAATTCAGCATCAAAGAATAGAGTACTCATACAAGACATATTCGGTGTCTCAAGTCTAAGGATCAGACATACAATTTGGACTATGTAATCATTCTCTTACATCGGGTATCATTAACTATCCAACATTTTATAAGTGAATCATTGTACCTCTAGTCTCCCCACACGGGTGACTATGAGAATATCCACCTCCATCATATGAACGAGTATATAGCACACTAGTCTGTTTAGTTATCTCGATGTACCTCTTGAGTTTCCTATGATCGAGATTATTTAGGATCTGTGTTTAAAAGTGAATTGGTTTCATTATTGTGATCTCATCACGATTCGATTTTCATTGCACAGATCCAAGAATATCATAGTATACATTCAAATAATATATAATATGAAAAAATACCAACAATAATAAGCAAAGAGATTGTCGCAGCATGTCACAAGTGTCATGACTCACATGATTGATTTGTATGGCATCTATAACTAACAAATGCTACTTTCGTACAATAATATTTAGATAAAAAAGAAAATGAAACATATTTTGTATGTATCGAATCAAACGTTACATAAGTCTCTTCTAACATGTCTGATGCTCCGGTTTATATTACAAATAATGTGCAATGCTCGTTTTAACTCAAAAATCGAAAGAATATGTAAGATTGGTTATTATAATTAATTCTCTTAAAGTGAAAGTGATAATAACATGTACTTATCATCGATACTTAGATATGATTTATTTAATAGATCTTGACGATTCATGTTATATTTTATAATTCTAGTTATTTGGTTTTCTTATCTAGATTTGTTAGGATATGTCTTATTTTGGTGTTGATAAACTTAGTGTATTTATAATGTAATAAAAATTGATTATGAAATTTTATATAATTTTATAAAATTCTAGATATTAAATACTCGAAGTTTCAAGAACTTTTAAAATTATATATACTTACATTTATGAACCACTTCATGTATCCTATTTTATGGAGAATATTTTATTATTTTTATAGATGACTTATTGAAATATGATAATATATATTTATTTCATATAAAATCTCTCACACCTTTATGTATATATAAATAAAGTTAATAGATAATTAAATAAAAAGGTTAAAATAATTAGATTTGATGGGAGTGATGAATTTTATATTAAATATGATGAGTCAAATCAAAATTATTATCTATTAGTTAAATTTTTAGTAAATCGAGATATTTATGCTCAATATTTATTTCTAAGAGTGCCACAATACAATAGTATTACTAAAAGGCATAATGATCCTCATATGATTAGGAGTATAATTAGTTTTTAAGTACTTGATTCAAAGTAGGATGAAACTCTTAAAAATATTATATATATCTTGAATAATATCATTAGTAGGTCAATTCTATCAACTCCATTCAAGTTATGAATTTGTAGAAAACTTAGCTTAAGACATTTACATATTTGAATGGATTTGTAGAAAACTAAGCTTAAGACATTTACATATTTGGGATTATCAAGTAGAAATAAGAGTAACCCATATGAAAAAATAAAAGATCTAAGAACTATTTCTAAATATTTTTTTGATTATCTAAAAAATTTAAATAATATAAATTTTATTATCCTAACTATAGATTGAGAATAGTTGAGTCCGATAATATAATATTTTTTTTTAAATCATGAATTCAATATAAGTGAAAAACTCAAAGATTTAATAATGAGAAGATATTAGTTAATACTTCTTTTATCATTTCATATGAAAGAAGTTAGTCGTTAAATTACTAAACAAATAAAAGAAAACGAACAACATAATAGCATCGATGAACTTGATCAACTTGATGAAAAGATCAACCACAAATGACACCTTTAAGAAAATCTTAAATAGAAAAAAGACATGTCAAAATATGGTATATATATATATATATATATATATATATATATATATATATATGAATAAAAAATGATCATCATTTTCATATACTATAAAGAGTAGAGATTCTAAGAAATGATACGATATAATAAAAAAGAGTCAAAATCGATAGACTAAAATATTATTTGGGATATCATTAAATTTTTAATAATTATAAAAGAATCGATTATATTTAATTCTGTAAGATTAAACTTGATTTAAAGGATAATATCGAACGATATA